CTTTAAAAAAAAAAAAGAAAAAAAAGAATATAAGACAGTAAAATAATACTACTAATTTTTATAGATAGTACTTACACAGCACTGCTGTCGATGCTTTACATATTTTAATGCATTTAGTCCTCACAACTACCTTAGGAAGTGGGGCACTCTTATGCCCATTTTACAGATGAATATTAACTATGATATTTGCCAGTGGCATGCAGTCTGTACATTTTGTAGGAATTTAGGAGTAGGTGAAGAGCATAGAGAGCTGAGGCAATCAAGGAGGACTCCATGAAGAAAGTGGCCCTGGAAGGAAAGTAAGGTGGCCCTAGATAATCCCACATAGGTGGGAAAGGGTGGTGAGGGCCTTGCAGGTGGAATGGAAGTTACCCAACAAAGAGGTGGAAAATATTAAAATTTGCTCAGGGTGGGTACAGATTATGTGATGAATACAGATTATGTGTTATATTATTTTCTGTACCTTTGTGCACCTTAGAAATAATTACTAATTAATAAAAATATTTTAGTCACTGTGTTCTGGAGAAATAGAACATTTTCCTTCCCTGAGTCTTTGACTTATGTAGTATATACATAAAACATTTGCTGGTTAGAAGAATTAGTAAATGTTAGTTCTCTTTATTCTTTTTCTAAAATAAACCTTAGTTTTTAAATTCTATTTGCCTATTACTACGCCTGAGTTTCTTTTTTCCATATGGATCTATCTTACTCCTTGTCACAATTGCACATTGCCGAGTAGCAATGGTCCATGATTTATTTCTCCCTTCCCTACTGATCCCAATTTTCTATTACAAGCATTGCTTGTAAACATTGTACCCTTGTAAAAGCCTTTCCCATGCACTGCCTGGGGTAGATACTAGGAAGCGGAAATGCCATAAATCCAATTTTCAAAAAGTGAATCAAACGGGGGGTGAATGCAAAATCTCTGTACGTCCCTCTCAATTTTGTTGTAAACCCAGAACTGCCTTTTAAGAAAAAAATAATCTTAAAAAAAGAAAGTCAGAGACCGGGCACGCTGGCGAACTGGGAGTCCAGGCAGTTTCTCATGTGGTCCGGGCTGGAGCAGGGGGACTCCCATCAGCCTGCCGGGCCCGGGCCCAGGTGGCACCGGTGCAGCCTCCCCGCCCCGGATTAGGCGCAAGAGCACGGTGACCTACTACCCTCAGGACACGCGCTCCGCCCCGCCTCACGGCCCCTTCCATTGAAAACAACAACAACAACAACAACAACAACAAAAAAACCACCCTCGGCGATCACGTGAAAGCGGCGTGCCGGCCGCATGACGTCACGCAGCGCGGACCAATGGAAGCTTCTGTTTATGTCGGGGGTCACCGGAATATCCGAGCCCCCGCACGCAGCCTCGCCCCTCCGCCGACGGCGCCGCGCCGCTCTCGGGCTCTGGTAGAGAGCGTTCAGCTGGAGCGGGAGGCGGCGCGGCTGTAGCACCGCGGGGAGGGCCGCGCCGGTTGCTTTCTGCAGCCGCTTCTCCGCTAGCCGGTCCCCCGCCGCCCCTGGGGCGCCGTGTGGCTCTAGACCGGGACCGAAGCTGCCGGCCGCCGCGGGTGGCCGGATCCGCGTCCCGCCTCAGCGCCCGGAGGACATGCGGGAGAGAGAATGACCCAGAGGGACACGCTGGTGCATCTGTTTGCCGGGGGGTACGGTCCAGACAGGGCGTGCGGGCTGGGGCTGAGGGTGCTGGGCTGAAGGCCGTGGCCTGACACGCGGGCGAGAGAGGGGTGAGGGGGCTCCAGCCCGCCGGGCCGAGAGGGGTGAGGGGGCTTGAGCCGGGGGTTGCTGAGGAGGCTGAGGCCCGGCGGGGAGGGATGAAGGATGAAGCCGGGGCGGGACGTAAGGCTTTGGGCCCGCGGAGCCGCGGCGAGGCTGGGGCGGTATCCGAGAGCCTGATGAGCGGCGGGCGGGGCCGAGGTGGGGGAACGAAGCGGCCCGGAGCCACGCGCCGCGGCCTAGCGCGTGTCCGGGATGCGGGCCGCGGAAAGGAGCGTGGCTGCAGGCCTCGCGGAGGTTTCTAGGCCTGGGGGACAGGACGGAGGTGCGGAGGCCGAGGACAAAATGGGCGCCGGGGCCACCTCCTCCCTCCCCCCTTTGCCGCGCGGGCTGAGAGGCGTCCTCACGTCGCTCACGCCCCACCTCGGACCTCGGGTAGCTGATTTCCCGGCCCGCGCTGCCGGGCTGGGCCCTGGCGGGGTGTGGGGGTGCTTCCCGCACCCGGGGGAGGCTTTGGTGTTCGCTCGCCGGCTGGAGCTGTAGGTTTCTCGCTCTTGGTTTTCTGCCAGAGCTTCTCCAGGTTGCAAGATGCGGTGCCAAGCAGTATTGCCTTTGGGGTCAGATTCTTTTCATGAAAACCAACCCTCCTGTGCACCCGCTGCTTTTCGTCTGCTTAAAGGAGAAAGTCGGGGGTGGGAGAGGTCAAATCCTTTGGCGATAGTTACTGTGTATACAAGATTAGGACTAAGCCTAAAGCCTCCGTGATTGCCAACCTAAATGCTACAGATACTTTGTTGAGCCAGTTGAGTCTCTTTTTTAGGTTTGTTCCTTCCAAATTATTGGGGAATCCTAGCATTTTTAAGTTTATTTATCTGTAGGATCATAGTCATCAAAAAATGGCTGCGGTGAGTTCTGCTAAGGCTCTATATGGTCTATATGACCATATAAAGTCGCATCCCCTTAAAGCGTAGAGTTTATCAGTCAGCCACTTTAAGACTTTATTGCCAGCGATGGTAATACTTTCCTTGGGTTGGCACATTCACTCAACAGACTTTTATTGTACACCAGTCGTGGGCCAGCCACTGTTCTGGAATAAAAAAAATATTTTTCTTTTAATCCGTGAGACCAAGTTTAGACGAAGTTTACTTTCCATATTTCTGATACTTTTGCCAGTAATCCATATTTCTGATATGTTAAACCAATCTCGGCAAATTATATCATTTTTTTAAAAAAACCATTAGCCATGTAGATGTTCTTGTAAAGATGTCATGTTAGGCAAATTATCAGGCTTCCTCATGTAATCCCATGAAAGTTAGGAGACTGCACATCTACTTCTGGCTGCTATTTTGAGTGAAAAATGGACAAAACCTTTAATTGCTTCATTTGTAAAATGAGGAAGGTGTACTGTATGATCTCTAAGGCCCTTCCCAGGTCCTAACATTTCTATTACTCTGCATTCAAAATTCATATATCAAGTTTTGTTAAAAGTAGGGCACGGTAGTTAGATTGCACTAAGTTCCCAGTTTGGATTAAGATTATTTGTCACTTTTTTGTTATTAATACATGTAAAAGGACCTCCTGGTTAGCTTTTTCTTTAAAAGCAGAAATGGAGTTTTTGCAGCATCTAAACACCAATAGATTTAGGAGCCTCCCCTACCCCAAAGAACCTAGCATTTGCAGGTTATTTAGAGTATTAAATGAGGTACTGGGATGTAAGGCCTAACACGACATAGGTGATCAGCCTTATAAATTCCCGTCCTTTGTATCTCTTGATTTTGTATTTACATGTGGTTGCATAACTTGTTGCAATAAAACCTGGTTTATCTTTTTTTTTTCTGGTTTATAATTTTTAGAGAAATTTTAGGACTAGGAAGGATGCCAAAAATCTGGTTCAGCCCCTTAAAAATATGGAAAAATACTGAGGTGTATTGATTTACCCAAGGTCAAACAGCTTTCTGTACGTGTAAAATGAGAGGTAAATAATCTCTACAGATCCTTCCAGCTCTATATTATATAAAGCCAATTTCATTATTTATTATTTATATATTATGTATTATTTATTATAAGCATTTGTGGAAATGCAAATAATCTCTACAGATCTTTCCAGCTCTATATTACATAAAGCCAATTTTGTAGAATATCCTGGAGGTCCGTATGGTAAACTTTGTGGAAATGCCCATTGTTGTGTCAGTTACATTGTTCTTTTTTTTTTTTTTAAAGATGTGGGGCAGTTTATTATTTTCACAAATTGTTCCTAGAGATCTGAGACTAGAGTACTGAAAAGCTAAATTCAAAAAGAAAAATGGTCATTCTTGAAGTACAAAAATGTCATTAATGACTTTTTGTTTGTTTTGGTTTTTTTCCTATTTATTTGATGTAGTGTTCCATGATTCATTGTTTGCGTATAACATTCAGTGCTCCATTCAGTACGTGCCCTCTTTAATACCCATCACCAGGCTAACCCATCCCCCCACCCCCTCCTTTCTAGAACCCTCAATTTGTTTCTCAGAGTCCATAGTCTCTCGTGGTTCGTCTCCCCCTCTGATTTCCCCCCCTTCATTTTTCCCTTCCTACTATCTTTTTTTTTTTTAAACGTGTATTATTTGTTTCAGAGGTACAGGTCAATTTACATTGTTCTTAATTGAAGATGTTGAATTCTTTTATATATGAAAGTGGCTTATTTAGGCAATCAATTCTGGTACATTCTTCATAGAAAACTAGATTTCATTATTTTTTATCCTAATAGAATTATGTTAATTAGTAGTTAGGAAAGTTATTTTTTACTTTAACAATAACAAGTAGTTACAGAAAAGGAGATCTTTTTATTAGCTGTTGTAACTGGGCTGCTTCACACACAGGTACCATTTAGATTAAGTTATAAAAACTCAATATATTTTAATAGAACTAAACCTTTTGCAGTGGCATTTAGTCTTAGGCAAAAATTGCCTGAGAATAGGGCCTTTGGATTGTTTCCCTGATGATTATAATTGTATTCAAGTATGTTTATCAGGATCTCAGGGAGATTTCTAATAGCCTCGTAGCTATATTATTAAATCAGGAACATTTGCAACAGACCAGCGGTGGACCTTGGGTGTGGTTGACATACACACATGCATAACTTAGGCTTTCTTTAAGACACCCTTTGGTCCCATTATATTTTTTGCCAGAGTTAATATTCAGAGTTTGTAAGGCCATTGGTTAGATAAATTGAGTTATGGAGGCAACTCGTAACAACCTGCCAAAAGGATATAGGTAAGATTTAATTTAAGCTGTATTTTTAATGACACTATATGTATATCAAATTCTTTAGTAGAACTGTATATTATATAGTTCTTGTGTCAGTTTTCTACCAAGAGGCAGGTTGCTTTTTTCTTCTTTATTTGAGGGAGAGATTGTCTCAAATAGGAGGAGTAAACCTTAGAAACTGTCCTTTCTAGGTTTTTGATGTTATAGCATAATGAATTTGTATGCTCTTCAGCTATCAAACTTGACTATTCTTTCCTTGGAATTCTTTGCTAATCGAAGCACTTAAAGCAAATGAGCCAGCAACTTTGAATTTTAAGTTTTTCTTTTAACAATAAAGCTCCAACTTAGTACTTTATTGTAGCAAGTTACATTGGTGATAACTTAAAACTGATCTTAATTCATTGACCACATCAGTGGATCAGAGGGACTCAGGAGCAGTTAGAAGGCAAAAAAGAAAGTGAAGGCTTGCTTAAGGCTTGGAGTGGGGATATTGAGGGAAAATGTGAGAGGAAGTTTAGAATGTAGAAACCAGAGAGACTTGAGGATAATTGGTTGTCAGAAAGCCTCTATATGCCTTTGTCACCCTTGTTAGCCTTTAGTACCTCATACTAAGGTAATCATAGGAGCTTCTTCACGTGGTCTTCTGTTAATTGTATATATTTAAGGTGTACAACATGATGATTTGATAATAAGTATACATAGTGAAATGATTATGACATAACATCTGATGTAATTACCATCTTTGGATGTGAGAGCACCTGAAATCTACTCTTCACAAATTTCCAGTATTCAATACAGTAGTATTAATTTTAGTCATTATGCTATACATTAGAACTTTAGACTTACTCATCCTATGTAACTGCAGATTTGTGCTGTTGACTAGTACCTTCCCATTTCCCACACCTTCTTGCCCCTGATGACTACCCTTTATGCTTCTATCTTATTTGACTTTAGATTTTATATGTAAGTGAGATCATGCAGTTTTTTCCTTTCTGTGTCTGGCTTATTTCACTTAGCATAATGTCTTCCATGTTCATTTGTGTTATTGTAAATGGCAGATCTTCCGCATGGCCTTCTTGATCCTGGATTCTTCCTAGCCCCACTACAGTCTACATTTCTATCTTGCTAGTTTTGTTTTTTTTTAAGATTTTTTTTATTTAAGAGAGAGCAAG